TGTTGTGGGTGTATTATTGACATGTCAAAGTCTAGACCCTGAATATAAGACGACCGCGTTTTTTCAGATGTATTTCCAAGAAAAAAACATCTTCTTATATTCGGGACAATACGGTAATTTGAAAGTCATACTATACTGGTTATGTGGTGTGTTGTTGTTTTTTTCCTTTTTTGGGGGGATTCACTAAAAAGAACAGGCTCATAATAGTCATACATTCAGGAGACAGACTACAATGGTTGTGCTGAATGTTTCACTCTGCAGATTCGGTAGCATTTTTGCAAGGATGTTGAATAGGTAATGCAGGAAAATCTGTCTTTACTTAGTTGGTAATGTGTTTGGTCTGCTTAGCCAGAAGGACTGAATATTTTTGCCTACTCACAGACCCCAAATATAAAAAAATATTTAATGGTAAAACGTTTAATTAAGAACATTACTATATTGAGACCCCTGGTTGAAAAACCTAGAACTAAATGTTAAGTGCTATAATAAATTATAGCATATTAGCAACTGTATAAGCATCAGTTTACAAACAGTTTGGAATACAGCTGTGCAAAATCCACCGCCGTTATGCATTTCAAACATCCTATCATGCAGACAGCCCTGCTACATGTTTCCTTTGCCAAGGGCAACAGTTGGAAACGGTGGTCAAATGTCAATTGTTCCAAAAATCCTTGGGCTTATATCAGGTCCATCGAGAACAACAGGGGCTGCTTCATTAAACCCAGAGGACTTACAGGGCTCCAGTACTACTGGTACCTCATTCACACGCCCACAGAGACTGGAAGCCGACAGACCTTATGTAATCAACACCTGCCGGGGCTTTTGCTGTCACTGCTGTTCTCTTACAATGCTTCGGGCGGCTCAATCTACACCATGAGCAGAAATGTGCATCACACCCTCTATGCAGACGGGTGGTAAAGTCCCACACCTTTCAGCTACTGAAAAGTGCGGCTGAGAGCTGCTGGGCCAGAGCATTTAAGAATAACCATTACAATGTTATACAACTGGAGTGCAAAATGCCCCACGTTAAAGACTCTACACTGGTTGCCTTTACATTCTAAGTAAAATATGTTTAAAGAAGCCCTTTTTTGATAAATATCACTGGACTGAGATATAATTAGCAGTAAATACTAAGGCAAGTATCGCTTTTTTGCTATGTATTTTAATCACTAATTAAAGAGTGCATATACTACATTACATATTTCGAAAAAACCCTAAACCTAAGTATTAAACTCCCACACTGTTTGTGCTATAGACAATGAATGATACCACAAATCATGCGGCTTATTGTGCAGAGGTGTGCTATTATTTTTTTTAAGGGATCAGACCTATGATTTACAACTGGCGGACAATATAACGGCTGAAAATCCCCTAGGCGTACACTAAAAGATGGACCCAAGTCATATTTAGATAGATTTGAAAGTTTTGTAACAAGATAGATAGATAGATAGATAGATAGATGTGATGTGTTTGTTGTTTCTATAACAACTATAGTTGTCACTATATTACAACATGGTGACAGATGTATTGATTGAAGTATTGATTATTGATTTTGGCTCTACTGAAATTAACTATTCTTGAAACGCTTATTGTGCAGAGGTGTGCTATTATTTTTTTTAAGGGATCAGACCTATGATTTACAACTGGCGGACAATATAACGGCTGAAAATCCCCTAGGCGTACACTAAAAGATGGACCCAAGTCATATTTAGATAGATTTGAAAGTTTTGTAACAAGATAGATAAGATAGATAGATAGATAGATGTGATGTGTTTGTTGTTTCTATAACAACTATAGTTGTCACTATTACAACATGGTGACAGATGTATTGATTGAAGTATTGATTATTGATTTTGGCTCTACTGAAATTAACTATTCTTGAAACATTTGTCAACAGTGTGAAGCTGCATGACTCCTATTTGCTGAAAAAAATCCCCTCACTGCCAGAAGAGAAAGAGTTATTAAAGGGGAAATTACATGTATCTGAGGGAATTGCAGTCCATGTTGTGCCCATTATCAAGTCATTATCAAGAGAAAGGCAGAGAGAGCCACACAATCTAGGAGCCTTTAACCTCTTATCAAAACATGCAAACTACAAATAAATACAGATTAGATAATAATATTTCTGCAAACACATAACGTTTGATTAAATACACATGTAAACACTCACACAGACACACACACATAGACAATGGGACTCAAGTTACTCCAAACCTGTATGATCTTTCTTCTGTGAAATGCAAAAGAAGATAGTTTGAATAACTATTTTTTTTCTCTCCATACAGTGAAAGTCAATGGGGCCAATGACATGAGGGTGAGTAAATGATGACAGACTTTTCATTTTTGAGTGAACTATATATTCAGTTTTGGGTTGAGTTTAAATTCTGCAGCACCAGCCTGCTATAAGGCGACTGTAAGTTCAAGCAATCATGTGATCAGTAATGTAATCCTCTTCTTACAAAATGTCTGCCTTCAACTATTACCTGAAACTCACTCACTCATTCACTCACCTCAATGGGATCTTGATGGCGATATACCGATCCACGGCAATGGCCAACAAACTGAAGATGGAGCTCTGTGTGAGGACCAGCACGAAGCAGGCAATGAAGAGGCACCCATGAAAATGGCTGCAGAAGCCCGTGCTGATGGTGACGGCGAACGGAATGGCCAGGAGTCCCACTGCGATGTCCGCCAAAGCCAGCGACACCACAAAGAAGTTGGTGATGCTCTGGAGGTTACTGTTAAGGCAAACGGCCCAGCACACCAGAACGTTCCCCGCCACAGCCAAAACCGCAATCAGCAGCTCAAGAACAATGTAGACGAGCGAAGACATGGTGCCATCAACCGGTGTGAAAGGACATCTTCAGGGACACACATAGTTGTGCTCCCGATAATTGCTCAGTGGGACTTCACTCCACCACTCAATGGCTCCAGCAATAGGTGTGAGGACTAGCCAATCCAACCATTCCTCTTGAATGAATGATATCTTGTTTTAATGGAAAGAGGGGATAGAAATAACCTGGTATCAGCTGCTAAACCACTCTGGGGTACACTGAGGTGACTGCAGGGTCAGTGGTGACACCCCTCTGTAAATCTCGATTTACCCGTTCACCAGCGTGTCCCTTAGGTCCAGCTCAGCCTTTCATTGAAAGTCTTGAAGGAAACAGCTACTAGACTGCATAAAGCGGCTCCGGTAGACCTTCACTGGGACTTCTTATCCTGTAGAAAGAACAATCATATCGCACAATAAAAGATCAACCTCTTTGGGTCACAAAAGCAATCCATCTCCCAAACAGGAGGTCTCCATCAAAAGACGACAGGCTAAATCCAACAATAAGCTTTTATTTTAAGAAAGACTCCACAAATACGAATGAAATATTTGTGCATGCCTGCTATTTATCACAAGACCCGGGCCAGCACTTCCTTCACTGGTTTCTAGGATGTGTACAGTTGAACTTTGCAATGCCTTTGCTATTATTGGCTAAGAATTGTGAACAAGTATTCTTTTGTACCCATTCATGTGATTCTGCTTTCATGTTTCATTGACTTTCAACATGAAATGGCTAAGTTTCTTCTTTATTGGATGAATAAATGGCAATTATTATCAGTTATTTCTTTTATATCCCCACAAACACTATCGTTCAAAAGTTTTGGGTCTGTAAGTCTATTATGCTCACCAAGGCTGCATTTATTTTATTTAAAATACAGTAAAAACAGTAATATTGTGAAATATTATTACAATTTAAAACAACTGTTTTTTTTACTTCCATACATTTTAAAAATTTAATTTATTCCTGTGATGACCAAGCTGAATTTTCAGTTATTAATTTTCAGTGTCACATGATCCTTCAGAAATCTTTCTAATATGCTGATTTGATGCTCAAGAAACATTTCTTATTATTATTTATTATATATATTTTTATATTTATTATATTATTATATTTTTAAAACATTACATTTTTTCTAGTAAAAAAAACTTTTGTTTGAAATAGAATTATTTTGTGAAATTTTAAATGTGTTTTAGTTAGACCCCAATGTTTTGAACAATAGCGTAAGTTTCAGCTCTACTTGATAATGCTCAGTCTGAATTGTTCAGGTTTGGCTTAAAAAAAAAAAACAGAACATCTAAAAATGTCTGTTTGTATGTGTAATTAAATCAGTCTGGCAATCCTCTGACTCTTTTGGGTCATTTATTGTGGTTTTACGTAGGCCTATCTAGAATTAATTGACTAACTGCAACATGCCTTCCATGGTATAGGCCACATTATCTTTTTTAAATTTTTTTTTTTTAGATATTTCTTATCTTTTAGCTCCAGTCTGTTTGATCAGGCACAAAAATGTGATGATTAAAGTCACAGTCACTCTTCCTCTGTGTTTTAGTGTTGCTGTTTGCTTTTTATAGCACAGCGTGACTTTGGTATGGCTGTTGACTCCCTCAAGTGGTATAATGACAAATTGTTTCCAAAGCACAGGTCTGGCATGTTGCATTTTAACAACTTTTGCATTAGCATGCATCAGTTTACAAAACGCTTCCTGTGCATTAAGACAAGGTACTTTCCGTAACTGGTTAAACCGTTATGAGGTATCATAATATTAACTATATGATGTCCAGACTAAAAAGAATATACAAAGTCCCTCACGAGTCACGTCATGCACGTCTGTATTAAAAAAAAAGGGTGGGAGTGCGGAAATACTGTAAGACAGCTGCTCAGCGAGCATGTTCTGTGTGAGAGGAAATGATGCTTAGGGTTTGGGGACTATGATAAGCATGTACTGCACGCCTATCTGTCATTCAGAAAGCATGCTTAACAGTTATCTTGGTCATTGTAACGTAATTCTAGTGTAGTTAAGATACACGTTTCCAGGTAACTACATCACAAGTCATTTCAATAACATCACAGAGTAGAGAAACACATTGGTGATTACAAAAACTTTTTCTTAAGAAAAATTCGACATTTAGAGGAATGCTAAAACATTTACACAACAGAGAAACAATGTTTGAAACATTATGAGATATTTGTTGCGGAATTCTTTGACAATTCAGCCACACATAACTATCATAAGTGGTTATTTTAAACTTGCTAAACAACTAGATGTAATGGAGAACAACAGAGAAGGATGCTTTATATAGGCTAGCTTGTAAATTACATAATTTTTTTGTAAATCATTCTATATATGGATTTATGTAGGTTATAGTGGCTGGCAAATAGCATATGAAATTTTTAAATATTAATTCAAATCTTTAAGAATTGTTCATTCAAAATGCTCTAGCTGGGCATCTTTTTTTTTTTTTTTGTACCCTGTTGTTTTGGGCATGAGGTGTGGCAAATGATTAAAAAATGTCAAAAATAAAAGTAAATAATTAAATAATTAAACACATAAATTACAGTATTTTCACAGTTAAAATGAGGTCATAAAAGCGCATGAATAGCATAATACTTTTTAAAAAATAAAAGAAAATGAGAAAAAAATGCTCTTAAAATAGTTTTTAGATGGAAGTAGGCTATTACATCACATATGTCACATTGTTGGAGACTGCTGTGACTGCTTGTCATGTGAACTACTTATGCCCACTGTAAAAATATACAATAAAATCAGAAAAGGTGAGCAAAGTTGTGACATTAATTAATAAAGATTATGAATTTATAGATTAGAATGAGCAAAACAATACAGGTGTCAGTATCCCTCTGACTAACATGCTGACAAAGTTAAAAAATCTAAAAGGCAGACAAAGTTCAATACTTTCAGTTAAATCACAAACTTTACTAGAAAACAAATAAATTTACGAACTGTTTATAATGTAAAAACACCGTTACTCACTTTAGCTGTTTACAAGCGTGTTTCCGCCGCGCACCTGAGTTGTAGGTTTCTCCGCAGGCATTCTGTCACTCACTTCTGAATGTCCAACCGCAAAACTGAATACAAAAAATGAGAACAGACCAAATCGTTCCACACGTTTTTATCACCCTAACGAAGTAATATATACACAAATGCACTACTCTGAACGTGTTTGGTCAAGGAAAAGGCGAGTTGAGTCGCCGCTTCTCTCCACTCTGTGGAGTTGTGGTGGCTGGCCACAGACAAGTGCGCGCGCTTTCACAGTAGTGACACTCACGCGCTGTGAGAGAAAGAGACCCACGCCTGATTGGTTTTCGTGGTTTAAACTATTCGTGCACTATGCAAAGTGCATTAAACACGATTTTTCCCCCCCTACAAGACCATTGTGGGTGGTAACTTCTTCATCATGCTGTCATACTGTCATTCTTCATAGTCCTTGCAGTTACAATAAAAGTTAAGATGGATGAGCCAGCACACTATCATAAATAACTAGGTTAAATAAATAAAACAGAAATAATGTAAATAAATAAAATAAAAATATATAACAGAAAAGAAAACTTAGCCTACATATTTAAATAAATACATAAATAAAAGCAGTATAACTGTTTAAATAACTATAATAATAAATAAAAATAACAATAACTATAGGCTACACTGTTTATTTTTAAAAAAAATAGTGGTTATTTTCTTCCTTAATTTTAATCTCTCTCTCTCTCTCTCTCTCTCTCTCTCTCTCTCTATATATATATATATATGAACAAAGAATAAATAAAATAGGAATAAAGGAAAAATAAAATAACAATAAATAAAAACCTAGAAACATACATAGCCTAGGCTATAGCCTATGAAATAGATTAATATCACAATGAATGAATGAATGAATGAATTAATTAATTAATGAATAAGTAAATAAATAAATAAAATCTACTTACCACTGGTAATATACAATCATAATAATAAAATAGCCTATATATTAATAAAATGAAATAAAAGTATAAAATAGGCTAATTAGCCTAAAGTAGCAACTGACGTAAATTGTTAGGCTAATTTTTAGGTGAATATGATGTGTGAGAAGAGTTTTTTTTAAGCTTATTAAGTTACGTCTTAACTTAACCTAATTAAATCTTTTGAGATGATCGTGCAGATAATCTATAATCTTGTTTTAAAGACATTACAAGAAAATATAGGATATTTTTGATCCGATATGACCAAAGACTTCAGAATACCTTAAAGGGGACTTAGTAGCCTATCTGACGTTTTCAGCAAAACAAGTCTGCATAACGAACGACATTTCATCCGGGGAATTTAGTTCGAATCAATGCTATCTTCATCGTTAGTAAGCCCAGTTTGAAATATACGCAGTCAGTACAATGGCTGATGTAAACGTACGTGAGGATAAGGAAGTGAGGGACCTGGTGGGTACCGAGAGGTTGTGTGGTTTCTCACGTACCGCCGAAACATCCTGCCTCACCTCAGGGTCACATGAAGATAAATGTATGTAATCAGCAAACCAGAGGCTGAGGTCCACCGACCAAGGTGGCTTCATTAAAGCACGCAGCACACACTGCAATGACATTTCTTAATGATTTGGATCTAATACATAAGCCCAATACTTTTTTGTGGCCCTTCAGTAAATCAAATCACAGCCTCCATGCTCACATTTTACTACAGCCTTGATCATGCAGAAAGCCTTCGGCACAAATATAGACACTTAACCTACCTCAGAGTGCCAGACACAATCGGTGTGAAAATGAAAGGGTATTTTAGTAGGCTAGTAGGAGGAAGTTCTTGAGTACAGCTGTTTAAATAGACCTTTTCTGCTGGCTCACTTCTTTCCACAAGAGAAGGGGTAGTTTAGATTCTTTCTTTTTTTCCCATTTCTGATTCTTCCCATAAGTGCTATGCAGGACTTCCAGGAAAGGTTAAATTAAAAAAAAAGAAAAAAAAAAAAAAGTAGGAAAGAAACAAGAAATTTAGATGACCATCCATTCTACAGTTTCATGCTCACGTGCCCTTGGATTAACCTGCTACCAGGTTCATTTAAAAGAGTGGTGTGTGCTGTTGAGCTCTAACTCATGTATGTACACAAAAGTATCTTGGCTTTTGGATCCATTTTGGATCTAAAAGGACAAACCTGCTCAAGCCTAGCAGAAATGTGCTGAATGTATGTAGCCTACCGTAAAGGTAATCGTTTACAGGTGCCAGGAATGACCCCACGGACCAAGAAGAGATCAATAATATCAATATATCAGTGTTTAAATAAACATGAATGATATTAGGTAAGAAAATAAATTGAGGGATGTTACAAGCAGAGTTAATTTAGTATTATTTATATACTATTGTAGTATTTATTTGTAATTTCAATTAGCTTTTATTTTTTATATTTTCAGTTTTCATTTCATTTTATTAGATTTTAAAATGTATATATTTATATGTAGCTTTAATTTATTTTTATTTCAGTTCTAACAATTTAAACGAATTTTATTTCAGTTGCCAAGGCACATTTCTTTAAATTGAAGCTTTTCACCTATTAATATTTTAATAATTTTAGTTTCAGTTTTAGTTATAATAATAACACTGGTTACAACAAATATTTCCATCATTTGAAAGAACAAAACCCATTCACACATAAAATCAACACACTGAACATATCAGACTGTATTTGTGCACACAAATATTTTTCTCACAAAACCTTACTGTATTTATTTATTTATTTTTCAAAATACTCCTCTTGACATGTTGTACAATGCTCTAGGAATCTTTCTTTGTGAAACAATAAACTATATGCAGTGTCAAAAAGGCATTCCAGGATTTACACAAATATGAATTATGGCATGTTTTAAAGTAAAAGCACAGTATGATATTACATGATTTGGTTCAAATCAAAATCTTCATATTAAACTCTACATGATTAGGTCACAACCTACATCTCACAAGAAGATCCAAACAAAAATACTCCTTGTCACTACTTACCTTTTCTAGGTAATTCAATGTCAGTGTCAATGACATTTCCACATATAAACAAACCAATACACCACAGAGGACCGTCAAACAAAATCTATCATTTAAAACACGACAAAGCTCTCGGTTGCTTAAATGGAATAAATTATAGTTTTGCAAAAACATGACATGCCCTTGACATAAAATTCACTTTGAACTGCTGTGATTAGCAGAATAATTTTGCTGCAACCCACTTGATCCCTTCGAAGATGTCTCATATTTACAAAACAAATATATTAAAACAGTAGTGCATTGAAGACAGCAGAGCAAGTTTATCTAAAACATCAATTGTGCTATTGGCTTTTCCATTTCCATGTAAGGCTTCGGCTTTGTGTGCGGAGGCTTATCTTTGACAGACGTACAGTATATAATGGGAGAGGTACAATGCATGATTTAACCATGAGCTGACAGTGCGGATGGATTGTAGTCGTCTTATTTCACATTTCATATCAGTAAATATACATTCAGCCTTTTTTATTTGTGCTTTTACACCCATAAGACAAACTCAATCTGAATCAGCAAGCTTCCAGAACCCAGCTGGCTTTAGGTGTCAAATAAAGATTAGTAGTGCGTAGACAAAAAGCCATGCATTTCATTTGTGCTGATATTTCAAACAGAAAAAATGTCCTACAGCATTTTCAGTGATGGAAGATCAGCTGGAATGAGCATTGAGGAAAAAAAACAGCTTCATTACATATTAGATTCATAATTAGCTTTCGTTTAGTGTATGAAAATAAAAAAAACATTTTGATATCAACAAAACCAAGTTGAATGTTAAAGGAGTGGTTCACCCAAAACTCAAAATTTGCAGAAAATGTAGCTACCTTCAGGATATCAAAGATGTAGATGAGTTTGTTTCTTCATCAGAACAGATTTGGAGAAATTTAGCATCACATCACTTGCTCACCAATGGATTCTGTGCAGTGAATGGGTGCCGTCAGAATGAGAGTCCAAACAGCTGATAGAAACATCCCAATAATCCACAAGTAATCCTTCAATTAACATCTTGTGAAGAGAAAACAATGCATGTTTGTAAGAAACAAATACTTTTTGTAAGAAACAAACCCATTCTGACGGCACCCATTTACTGCAGAGGATCTATTGGCGAGTGATTGCTAAATGCTAAATTTCTCGAAATCTTTTCTGATGAAGAAATAAACTCCTCTACATATTGAGTAAATTGCCAGCAAACTTTTATTTTAGGGTGAACTCTTCCTTTAAGGAGCCCTGTCTTTTTTTATTAGACATTTTTTTAAATAAATCAAACGAGACAGATTTAAGCTTTTTTAACGCCATTTTTGTGGGCAAAGCCTGTTGTGGCATCACTCTTTGGAATAAATACTGATAATCTAAGACCAATACTGGCATACAGATCAAACTATAAAACAAGCCAACTTTCAAAGGCAATCATATTCAGAGATACACATTTTTGTTGCTCGGTTGGCACAATACACTTTTAAATAGTGTTGCAATGTTCTTAAAGGAAGTTGTTGGCTCATGATTCCACCGACTTCCCACTTCTCTTCAAAAGCACTGCTGTTCAGAGAAGCTTAGTAGGATCTGGCTTGTTTCAGCAGCTATTCAGGATTCTGGGAACACACTGGAGGAAACAGTAAGTTGTGTGGGTAAGTCCCCCATTCGCAGCTAAGGCATCTGGGAAATTTGTAGCATCTTGGCCGCAGCAAGGAAGGTGAACCGACTGCAGCCGTTCAAGAAGATTCTCAGGTCTCAAAATACTTATAGATGGCCGTCACGTAGATCATGACACTCTGCCAGTCGGGTCTTTCTGTGTGCACCATTTGACCAATGTCCTGTCAGACAGAGAGAATGAGTCAGATGTGGGAAGGCAAGAGGAATTGGTCAGAAAAAATGATGTCTGTGTCAACCGATGTGGCATTGTGTGCTATGTTACACAAGTATCTTGCCACAGCTCGTTGAGCAAAGAGCAAACAACACAGCTGTTACAGCAAGACTAGAAGTCACGGTTTTGCTGCAAACAGCTTTATGAAGGCATTAAATTAAAAACAGGTGCTTAATTAAATGCTGCTGCCTCTTTTCAAAACAGGGAACATATTTTCTCCACTAAAACTGCTAAATAATGTGATATTACTACACTAAGAAATACAATCTGAATTGGTTCATTCTTTGTACGTGTTGCCCTTTTTACCACATGACATGGTTTTTTAACATTGCAACCAGGGTTTGAAATTAACACCCGCCAA